AGGAGAAAGTCAAAAAAAAGAACAAAGAGAAGCAGTGTGGTGTTTGCTGATGAGAAGACAGCACCTGATATCTCTATGTCTGACATGAAATGTGTATGTTACTGACTTAAAGTAGTATTTTATACTCCATAAAAAAAAGAGGACATTACTGCTTTGCATGGGAAAATAAATAAACCCACATAAAACTCTGCCATAAAAGGAAATACGCAGGATGCAGAGATGGTCTGCCCTGCTGTGAAGGAAACCTGTGAGGTGCTGAGGAAGAAACAAATCAGGCCAAAAATCAGAACATCTCCTCTTGCTTATAATGACAGATAATAGACCCCTGAAGCTGCAAATTTTGAAGCTCAGTTAGCTTAAACTGGGGTACTGCGCTGGGCAGGTTCAGCCAGCAGAGAGGCAACTGCCTGTGCTGCCATTTCATGGCAACTCTGCAGTCAGGGCTGTTTGGGAAGTGATGAGCCCTGTACATTTTGTACCTTGTTATGGAACATGCAGCTGTTAGGAAACTGCAAGCTTGCAAACAGTGTTCCTTAAACAGAGCCAGGCTGAAGTTTGGAATCACTGGCATCTCTCGCTCCACAGATCATCTGGGTGCTTTTACTGCACTGCTAGATCATTAAAATGACTTATGTAATGGACAGTAACAATTTTGAAAGGTGTCCTCTTGCTATACAAGCCTTATCAAAATTAAATTGTCTGGCAACAAGAGATTGTTCAGTCCCATGGGGAGAGCATAAGTCATTTCATCCAAAAAAACTGTAGGAATCATCAAAGGCAAAGTGAATTCAGTAGAAAGCTAAGATTCTTTTGGGGAACAAGGAGAAGCTTATGGAGGTTGTCTTACACTACATGTCCTCAGACAAAAGAGAGCTATATAGCACAGTCATGCTTTGAGAAGCATTTATATCCAAAACCAAGCAACACCTTTGTCTTGTGATTATATTAAGTAACACACACCTTGCTGTGGGAATCTCACTGCTTACTGAGTCACAGGATTTTCTTTTGCTTCAGAAAAAAAGTGACAATCTTGCAGCAGCCAAGGGGGCTATGGAATTGCAATAGTCAGAAATGTATTTAAAACTTCATTTTCCTTTGCAGATCACAGCCAGAGCTGGCTGATGGCATTATTCCACAGACATGATAGGAATATCGTATATAAATCATCTCCCAAATAATGACATATTTTTAGATAGTATATAATTTTTGATGTGGACCCAGTTCTAATGCTTTTAGTTACTTTTCGTTTATTGTGCAAACAATCCCAAAAAGGACTTGGGTTAGGCATAATAGTTTGGTTTTTAGTTATTTTCTTTTATGCTTTTCACAAAATCCTGTTTTGATTGCATCTTTGTTGCTAACATCTCAGTTCATCATTAATGGACTTTGGGTTTTTTATTGCTTTTCTTTATTAAACAGGTGTTGAGGAAATATGAGTTCATGAGTGACACCAACCTCTCAGAGCATGCAGTGGCACCTCAGAAAACATCTGTCCTCAAGCAGATGAGTTCTGTCAGTCGTTCTATGCCAGTTATCCCAGGTAAGCTGAATACAGTAAGATGAGAGTTCTGCACTTTGTTGCTGTGTTAAGGAAACAGCAATAAAGGATTTCACCCAAGCAGAGCAGGTAGTGCTGTCTGTGGCTCCATGCCTCTGAGACGGAGATTACAGTAAGTGTGTCTTGTGCACGTGGGGCTGGACTGCTGCTGCTGCCACTGCTTGGTGGCACTGTGATGCCCAACTCTAAAAGCACTGTTGTTGGAGCTCCAAATTTCACTTTGTTGTACAGTGTGGGCACTCTTCATGCCTTGAAAGGGGCAATGTCTATTCATCTTCCTTACTCCTCACAGCAGAGGATAGGGTTTGAAATGGGAAGAAAAGCTCTGTGCTTTGGCAGATGAATATCCTCAGAGGCTGCCCCATAGTAGGGTTTCAACTTCTGCTTTGAATGTTAGAGAGGAAGCCTCGTGAGACTCCCTCACAGGAAGAGGAAGGAAAAATAGCATAACGTAACTGCCCACTAGAAAGACTGACAACTGCATGACTGAGAAGGGGAAAGTGTAACTGAAAGTGGATCTCATTTCCTGGCCAGGGTGTGTAAAGAAAATGTGCCCCATTTCCATGTTCTTTACCCCCTACTTCTTCCATAGCATATCTCATTTCTTAGCTTGCACTTCCTCTATGCCTCTCATTGTCCCTGTCTTTCCAGATGCCTTTAACAGATGTTTAGCACAACACAACAGACTGTCACAGCCCACTTCTTTTTCATGTATTTATCTATTTTTAATTCTTTGACCAGATCAGTTCACTTTTTCACTATTCAGTTTTCATGTAATGAAGTCTAGTGCTTCCCCACTAAATTTACTAAGTAAGCTTACTTACTTTTGTGTTATAAAGATTTAGTTACAATAAAAATACCTAAATTCTTTCTAGCCATTGCAGTAGCTCATTATTTTGAATCCTGCTTTGTCTTACACTCTGACTGTCCTGTTTTGGTTTTGTTTTGTGCAACCGATATGTTTCTGTTCTAAGGATTAACTCTGACCACTGGCCCTGTGGCACCTGATGAAACAATTGCATCACACAGGTTGAGTCAACCAGTGTTTCCTTCCACCTCAGATGGTGACAAGAAAACCTTAAAAAAAAAGAAAGTGAACCAGTTGTTTAAAACAATGGTAAGTTGTGTGTGCTTATGGGTGAAGGAGAAAGTGTTTCCTCTTCAGGAATTCTAGGCTGTGAAAATTAAGTCATTTTAAAATAACATAAGATTATATGTCAGACTCTAAACCCCCCACCAGTCAGAGAGAATGGAAGCTCTTGGGGATGCAAACATTTGCCTCTGGCTGCACATGCTGGATGGAGTACGGGAGTACTTCTTTGGATGTTTGAAGAGCAGGCTCCGATGTGCAGTTCTGCTCCGGAACCACAAGAGGTCTCATGTGACCCACTCATTTACTCGTGTTTGCTTTTGATGACGTTTATCATCAGCAGAGGAAAGCGATTGTTTCTTGTTCGATTTAATCACATGGGGCAATTAGCACAGGCAGCTGAGTAAGGTAAGCATAGCATATGTGGCAAAACATGCACAGTGTGGTCAGTCTCTGATGGCAGAGATGCTGCTTTCGAAGTAGAATTTAGCTTACGCTGGAATAGTTAATGCTGCTCAAAAGTTTGCCTTGATTTGAAGAAGGAAACCTTTCACTCATTTCTGTGGAAACTTCCCACAATTAAAACAATTGATTAATGCATTGTATGAAAGCAAACGATGTGTATTCAGTGAAGATACTAAGATTAAAATGTTAAAAGATTTTCCTGTTCTTTCAGGTAGTGGGTGACATTTAATACAGGCGCAGGTAGCTACTGACAGGCATAATGCATAAGCATTCTGTGACACCTACAATGTTTGACATATCAACTTTGATGATCTTTCAAAGCTAAAGTTAATTTTGTTTTGTTTTAGTTTATTTTACTTTATTTTGTTATTTATTTTTTCTGGTGGATAGGTTTCATTGTCATCCGTTAGTTTCTGCAGTGTTTCAAAAAAATATAAATAGTGACTTCTGGGACAACTGAGCAACATTTAGGAAAATCTGCACTTAGGTGTGTTCATAATAATATTTTCCTGGTAGGAACAAAATTAACCCATTAATTTGGATTTCACTTCTATTCAGTTTACCACATACTTGTTCTTTTCAGACCCAGGAGTAACAGCTTTTCAGTGTGATCTCATCTAGTCTCATTTAAACCTAAATAGGATATAAAATGAGAAGGACAAAATGTCCCTTTCTATAAGTCTGAAAAAGGACTGAACAAAGCTACAAATCCACTTGTATAGTGCTTCACAGCACAATTGGAATCATGTGGACAGGTATAAACACAGGTTTATGGCTTTTTGGAGAAATTAATTCAAAATAACCAGGATTTGATCAACATAATCTTTTCTCTAGCCACAGCTTGAGGCTGCTAGCTAGTAATTAATATAAATATTACTATACATACTGAATCCAACGCAGCAGTCATTTTAGCATATGGCACTCTGTTTCCCTTGTTTTCCAGCGCATTTCCAGAGTTCTAGAAGATGGAAAGCAGTCTGTGGAGCATCATTTCAAATCTTCATCTACAGATCTGTGAATGAGTCTGTTACAAGACCACTCCTCAACTGAAAATAATTATCTATACATACATTTCCTATTTTAAAGTGCCGGCTACTCTAAAGAAAGATAACATAGATGGCTAATAAAAAATAGGGACAACACCGGCTAACAAAAAATAGGAACAACTCCGATAAGTGACTTGTGATACATATACGGGAATAACATTTGAAGAAAATACAACAGGATGTGCCCACCAGGACATGCAACAGAAGTTCACTGAGCCTCTAGGCATAGAGGTCAAAGGACATTGTGTGTTTCCTGATGACAAAACTTACTCCTCAGAAGAAAATGTATTAAAAGTCCATCTACAGTGCTTGCTGTATAATGTAAGATCGATCCTGTTCTTTTCAAAGAGGACAGAAGTTATCATTTTTTGTAGCTGGTACAGACACATTCCAGCTATCTTTTAAACAATACTGGCAGCGTAGTCAAGGCAACAGATGGCTCAGCACAAAATAGCTGCTGACAATGTACTCTGTATCCAGATTTACAGTCCTTGGATCCCTCTGCTGCTCCCAACACACTGCTCTGTATCCTCAGTCTTTCTCAGGGTGATGTCTGTGACTCTGACACCATACGTGGTGGCTACCATGTTGTAAACATGGGCAAAAGTTTATTTACACATGTATGAGTTGCTATTACATCCAGCAGTACGATAAACAAAAGCTGGCTTTTTGGCTGTTCATCAATAAAATGTTAAAAATTTATTTGCCTTGAACCTTTCTCCCTGAAATCTCTAGATATCATCGATAGAAGGTAATAGTTTCTTACTGACAGCAAATGGAATTCTATGAGTCCAAGTCTTCTGCTTTCAAAATTGATTTTCTGTGTCTCTCCAACTCATGAGGTAGAGTTGGAGGATGATCTCTTGTTGGCATAAAGCTACACAGCACTGCACATCAGCATCTGAGGATTCTGTAGCCTGTCAGTTCTTTCTAAAGGCAAGTATGTTATCCACATAGAAACATGAATAATAGATTTTCTTTGTTCATCCCTCCATGTTTCAGGTATCTATGTGGGTTTGTATTAATAAAATATGACCATGAGTCCTGCTGTGGATGGTAGAGGCTGGCCTTGCTGCCACTTGCATGGGTATGGGAAAGACCGAGAGGTTAAAATTGTTCCTTGATGAACTGTTGAATCAATGGGAACACATCTTCAGTTTGTTCTGAGCAAAACTGTTTCTATAAACACTTTTATGTTCAGCATGAATAATTGATGTAATGAATTTAGCCTCTCTTTGCAAGTTATCAGTGTGAAGCTGTTTTCTACAGGAATAATTAGCAATTGTTTTCTGTGAAAAGTTTGAAATGTTTGCCATTGGAACTAATACTGTGCCAAGAATTACTTTTCACTAGAATAACCATGGACAGCAAACCAAAATGGGTCCAGTTTAACGCTAACCACAGTATTTGCTGGCACGGATACTGAGGGACTTCTTGTTTCACTTGCTTTTTGCAGAAAATCCTGTGGTACTGCTGCTGAGGAAGCACAGAGGAAGCACAAAGTTTTTCTAGCAAAACAGTTCAGTTTAATAGAGCAGGTTATCTGGGAGTGGAAGTGAAATGTTGAGGGGTGCATCATCTTGCTAACCTAGAGGAAGAGAGGGTTCTCAGGTTGTCCTTCAATACTATTTGCAGATACATTGAAGAAATAATGATATCGCAAACTAAAGTATATTAAAATACAAGGCTTTTTTTCTACTGCGAATGAGTAAGAAAAGGATGATTTAGCAATTGTTTCTTCTTTGCAAAGATACTTGTTGAAGGATTTCTTTTGTTTATTGCATCTTGCGGCTATGTTTTCATGTGAAAGTGAGAGTTTTAGCTCAAGCTGTTATTATAAATTCTAATTTAAGTACTGTGATGAAAAATAAAAATGTACAAAGAATGAAAACAAATACCAGGAAGGCAGAAGCACAATGTCTGAAGGAAGTTTGGTGTTGAGTCTTTAGCTACTGGTGCAAGATTGATGTGTGTGTTTTGCTTGGGGTTTAGTATCATTTTTGATGAAGAGCTTAGATTTACCAAATTTACCAAATATCAGCAAAAATCTTGATGGTTGTCCCACATCACAGATTTTCTTCTTCTTGCCAGACTACTTTTTGATCTGATTCAAGCCTGAAATCAATTTTGCAACAGAGCAAAATTAACTAAGAAAAAATAACTGCCAAGAGCAAGGCATACATGGGACTGGAATTTTAAGGGTGTTTGGACAACAAGCTCCAGCCATTCATAAGTTTCCAGAAACTGTGGATCCTAGGGCTTAGTCCAGCTAAACAACATAGTGTGAAGAATAAGTGATGCCCTGGGATAGCAGAGTAAAAGTATGGCAATCTGGCAACATCTCTTTGAAAATGTAACTAGGCACCTATTGTCATTTCTGTCACAAGCTGAACAGGTACTGCTTGACCCTGTGCATCACACACAGTCTGTAACCTTCTTTGTTAGACAGTGGAAACTGAGAGTAAATAGAATCGTAGAATGGTTTCGGTTTGAAAAGACTTTAAAGTTCATCTAGTTCCAACTCACACTGGGCGTACTGGGTGCCGTGCTGGTTATTCTGTATGGAGTCCACAGGCATATTAGGCATCACTGGAGCTCTTTTTTCTTTTGCCTTTTTGATATTCCTTGGTCTGGTTTTTGGCCTTTTTCTCTAGTTCTCTAATTTGTTTCATCTGGTTTTTGGCCTTTTTCTCTAGTTCTCTAATTTGTTTCATCCAGTCCCTGACCTTTCTTTAAGGATTCATTAATTCTGTATTCTTACTCTGTCTTGGGACACCAGTCTTGTGTGGGGGAGAAAGAGGATTGTATTTCTTCATTGTTTCAGAAGTGCAGAATATAAAATTAACAATTTTCTCTTTGTCTAGCCTATTCATAGTTGATAGATGGTCACAACAAGCAAGTTACATTAACTCAGAGCAATATGTTAAAATAAAGGCAGTACATCACTGTGTAAATAAACTTTCCCTGGTGTGTTATTAATGCACCACATGAACCTTAGTAGTGTAGAAGACTGAGAATGTGAAATGTGTTCAATTTCATCATGCTTAAATTGAAGGGACCTTGTTCCATCCTGGTCTGTGCAGAACAGAGCTCATATAATTGACATGGTGGACTATTCTGCTTTCCACAGGAGGTTTGAGATGCAGAAGCAGTGTGCTCCCACAATTACTAAGAATCTGTACTATACAGCTTCCATAAGAAGCTGAAAAATTCTTCTCAGTCAGAAGGACATCAAGTTGCCTGAGCAGCGATGAGGAGTTTTAGCACCAGCTAGTAAATTCTACTGTGTTTTTAGGCAGCAACCATTTTACTGTAAAAACTGGCTGAAGAGCAGTTCCTAACCTGAACTGGCAAAGAGCAATAAACCTATGCCAAGCATTTGTTCACAGTTCTTAGAAAAGCAGGGAGTGGGCAGACAAGTTAATGCTTTTCTGACATGTTACTGAAGTTACTGAAATGTCAGTGACAAAGTGGATTTAGATTGAGTTGCTCCCTTTAACCCATTTTATATATACAGCTTTTGTTATTTGCCTACTTTGCTGCTTTGTTTCATTGCTAGTGGCAGTGATGGAGCAGAGGCTTTCATTCAAAATGAATTGAGGGTACATGTGAAGAATCCTGCAAGACAAAAATTTGAAATGATGATGGGAAACTGCTAGGAGGACTTGAATGATCTGACTTGATCAGTTTAAAAAAGAAGTCTCAGCAACTTAGCAACTGAAGTCTGGTTAAATCACACAGTACAGTCCATACCGAGTCATAATGAGATTTTACACTAATTGTAATAATGAGTATAAATCTCTGCTTTGGACTATGATAAATCCATAAATATTTTATTGTACTTACATCTATAGAGATTCTGGATCAAGCTGTTAACTGATGTCACAGTATTGCAGCAGCTGTAGCATGTCAGGCTTATTATGAAGGGTTTTTTATTTCAGCCCAAGTAAGTGTAATGGAAGCATCTCTGAAATAATGATATAACTTAAATTATTAAGAGCTTGCCAAGCTCCCAGGTAGGTCTGTTCCATCATGATCATGGGATGAGGGTGCTTTTAAACAAGAAAAGCTGTTAAGCCAGCTGTTAAACCTGATTTTAAAATCTCAAGGGAGGACAGGGGAAGATGTTTTGTTTCTTATTATATCTGGTTTCTCTTTAAGTCAGGTCCAAGAGTTGTGTTTAAAGCCATCTAATCATATCTTTCTCTATGCTAACTTGCTATTCCATTTTAAAGGATGTCACTTTAACCATCATGAAAAAACTGAAGATCCTTTTTTGTTCCAGCTTCAGAATAACTCCACCAAACGCAGGATCCTTCTCATGTAGAAATCAAGAGAATTCAACCAATTTAAAGCCAAACTGTCTTTTGTGTCATCTCTTTTTTAAAGCTATTTCTGAGGAGTGAAAAATAAAGTTAAAGGATCCTTTTCCTCATTGATTTTTGGAGGTGGATATCCCCATCTTGTTACATGATTATTTTTTTTCTGAGGAATATGGAAGTCTATGGAACAAGTTTTCAGCCATCTCCAATCCTGGATGCCTTGGAGTAGTCACTAGTATTATAGTACTTCTATTTCCCTCCCAGAACTGAGTTTCTACTTGCTCTTAGGCATTCAAGGTCCTTTTGAAAGGGAACATTGAGCAACATTCCAGGGACTGCCCTCAGTTGTAAGGACTTGAGCATAGGCAATGTTTGCTGCTATAGAGTGAGGACAGTAGTTGTTCTTTATTGACTCAGTCTGTAATTTTCTACCCTGATTTGCTACCATGATGCAGTGTGTGCTAAAGATTAACACTGTAAACAAATAATTGCTCTGCAAACAAAGCTCAAGTAGGCCATGGATTTCATAAACTTTAAAAATGTTACAGAAATTTAATCAGGATTTTAAAGCAAGGACAGATTGATCCAATAGAATTTTGGATACAGGTCTTTGACTTTCAGGATAGCAGAAAGCTCCATTCTGCAATGAGTGATCTTTCGTATGGCTGACCCTAGAATTAGACACTGAGTGTTTGTAACAAATACAGTTCCATGAGTATCAGTGGAGGTCCATATGCCCCAGTGTGCATGGAGGTATTCAGCCTATCTTTACTAACAGGTTAATGTGAGAGGCATGAGTGGTCTCTCATTCATAGTTAACACTTCATAGGCCTTCCCTTTACCTTGAATTAGTTCAGCTGATGGTAGCTAGCTGCTGATGGTGTTGCAATGGCTTTAAGTTGTGATTGATTCAGAAGACACAGGACAGTTGATGGGGATCAGAAACCAGTCCTTTAAGGTATTTATGCCCTGAGTTGGGCGCTGACAGCCAGAAAAAGGATGGTCATGTAAGCAGGAATCTTGCACTGTTGTAATTATAAAAGGTCTAAAAAACCCCCCCCCACGTTTGACATATTTTGAGAGATTTTCCCCAGAATGTTTTTATACCCAAGAAAACAGCCGTGGGTAGAGTTCCTTTAGATGCAGCTCTTTTAGCCGGGAATATCATATTTTATCATACAATAAAGCGTGTGGATACCTGGATTTTACAGATACTGAGGAACATATGAAGTGTTTAGTACATGACTTCTCAGTGATGCTTCAGTAGTGCTTTGACACACTCACTAGTACTAATGCACAGTGCCTGAATTTATAGAATCTGTCTTAACAAATGCATTTAGACTTCCTCCACGAGATAAGAAAACAGTACTATTGGAGATCATTACTGGAAAAGAGAAGAGCAAAGGAGGCAAACCTAAAAGAAAGACATAAGTCTCTAAACTTACAGAACTTTTGCACAGGATTTCAGATCAAATTAAGGATTCTAATATGAAAAGTTTACAAATGTTTGTATATACAATTGGTTATTTTGACCGGTCCCAGAATTAGGTCTAGATCTATGTAATACTGGTAAGGGGCCAGAGATCACGCCAGTGTAAAAACCTGTTGCGAAGTTCCCTCTAGGGCAGATCGCGACTGATTCGATATATTTCCCAGAATTGTCACTAGGGGGAGATAAGAAGTTGCGATACTTTGCCGATATAATGGATCTCCAACTACCCAGATACTGGAAAACCGAAGTGGAGCAACTGGGAGTGCAAGGATTATTAACACTGTAAAACATCTTATTCACAAGTTAGGTGATCTTAGTTTACTGCAGTTAAACCCTGTTACATTAAAACAAGTTTATCTATGACTGGGTGTGTCTATAGAGTAGTTCACTACACTTACTTGTTCCAATTCACTTATCAGGTTTAGTTGTTAATTAATTTTCACCAAGTGTTTGTGTTGTGTAAGTACCAAAGGGCGGAGAACACCGTGAACAAACGGGGGTGGGGGGGTGGGGGGGCGGGGGGGGGGGTGGAAGAGAGAAAGTTATGTTTTCTGAAAAATCCTTGGTTCTAAAATGTCTTCTCAATGAGATCTCCATTTACCTTGTGGAGTGGGAGGAGCTGATTTATCCATACGAGCAAATACCTTGATGCTGAAATCTGACTGAAACAGAAGTATTACCATGTCACTTTTTTTCCTTTGTATAAATCCTGCTGTGCCTCTCACTGAAATACACAATAATTTAAATTGTAAAGGTGTTTGGAAAGGTGCGCAGTTTAATTTCCATGGTAAATACTATGTCCATGCATCACCTCATTTGATTTTATCACCATTTATTCCTGGTATGAACAGATATTTAGTGGTAAGCATAGACGTATAAGCAGATAATCTGAAACAGGCAAGCATTTCAGATGTTTGGAATTTGGTAGCAGCAGCAAGGTTCTCCAAGTATAACTGAAGTATCTCTAGCTGTACTCATTTCCCATAGCTGAGAGATGCCTCGGATTCTAACATGAGAGGAATTTGTAGCCTAAGCTCTCCATGTCTGGCTCAGACTTGTGTTATCCCTCTGTGACAGGGCTGAGCATGTCTGTGTATCTAAATGCAGCAGAGCTCATGGAAGCCACCCACAGCCAAATGGAAGCTATAGATCTCTTGCCTGCCTATGGCCTGTCATGACTTACGTATAAGTCAGGGGACACCTAATCCCCTCTGCCATATTATATATGGTAAGACGGTGGATGGCTTTTGTTGAAGCAGGACTTATGACTACTTTTATTGCACAGTTCTCATACCAAGAAAGCAGCTATGAGCCCTCATAAGGTTTTACAGTCTTCTAAAACCCCAGTTATAAAGTTCCATTAAAAATCCACAGTGGTTTCCTTCTGAAAGACTTAAAAAGTCTAAGGGCATTCTAGCATTGCAGCATTTATGGCTCATATCCAAATGATCCCGTCTTTTCCATTAATTTAATGTTCAACCTGCATTTCTCGATATAAAGCCCAGTTCCCTTGTTTTGCAATACTGTAGTTTACATTTCATATGCTTTTGGAAGGACCTTGAGATGACATTGTTTCACCTGCTACACCTTGTTTCTTCAGATGGTGTAGCTTATTTTGTGGGGAGGCAATTATTGGAGTAAGACATGAGGACTTCTACATGTAACCTCCTAGACAGTTGAGATTATAGATAATTCATTTTTATGCAAAAATATGTTATTGATAGATACAGGAATGTTTCTGAAATCAGTGTGTGTTGTGTTTGAAACAAGGTGGGCTGCTTGGTAAACTGGAGAGGAACTCTTTCCTTTTAAAAGCAGTTTTTCCCTCATCTTTGTTACCACATGAATAGCTTGTATGAACTTTTCTTCAGCAAGGTATTAAGCTGTGATAATACATCACAACTGGGGTTACACACAGTGTTAACTGGCAATATGTATCAGGATCAAGAGTAAACAATGATTGAATTTCTGATGAATTAGTAAAGTACCTGATGCAGACTGCTTTATATTGTCTATATGAGGGACAAATGATATGCAGGATGTTATAGAGTTGGCCAGGATGAATCTACTACTACAAAATCTGGTACCTGTGTGAGCTATTAGAGTGGGTTTGCACTATGTTATACTTTGCATCATGCACGCATGGTACTTTTGATTTAAGTTCTCTGAAACAGTCACCCTGTGAAACAGCTTGATGACTTAAAGGTACTTGTGAGAATAGCAGGTATCATGCTTTATTTTGCTTTATGTTTTGAAAGATCCAGTTAAGAAGGGAAGTAGGAGTATCTCAGTCAAAGCATTACGAATGTGTACAGCATTCCGCATATTATTATCTACTTTTTGACACCTGTGGTTCTGCTCCCTGCTGTGTGATGGTGTGTATGTACCTCTCCCAGGTCACTGCATTTCAAAAGCACTGGACAGGTTATTTTGGAGTCTAAGTGAAAATGCTGAGGAATCCCAGTTTTAAGGGAATCAATCTGAACTTTTCATAACCCAAGATTTCAGTCAATTATGGTTTCTTTTGTTCAAGGGCAATCAGTGTGAAGAAATATTAATCTTGGCTGGAGCAAAGAGGTATGTAAGAGTTGATCTAAAAAACCCTTCTGGTCATCAACAGTTCTGCAGGGGCTCAGCCTCAACCTTGCAGGTTTTGGAGTTTCACTTAAGAAACTGAGAGAAGGAAAATATTCAGATAACACAGGAGCTGACAACAGTCTTTGACTTAATAACAATCTGGGGTTGATCAGGCTTCCAACTGGTAGGGTTGTGCATTCAGGGCTGTATAGTACTGTACTGCAGTAAAAAGAAATGTTAAAAACATGATATGATGCATCTGTCCTGGTTTAACCCCAGCTGGCAACCAGGACAGCATTTGCCTAGAAAGACCTCAACAAACCTAATGCTTTTGGAAGTAATGATTACTAAACTCTGACTCCAGCATCAGCCTCCATTGTATTTCTAGAGTTTTTGAGCCCTAAAAATGATCTGTTAGCATATCTTGGTCAGCATATGACATTTTCCCAGCCTCTTTGTATGGAAGCCACACATTTTTCCTTCTCCTTTCTTTATTTCTGGGATTTGTTACCTTCTCCTCCCAGCCCTGCCAGGACCAGGAGCTTTAGTGGTGAGGGCCCCAGGGCAGTATTCCTGGCTAGACTCAATTATCTCGTCTGACCAGCCCTGCTCAGCAATCACAGTTTGAGCAAAGTTATTCTTTCTTTGCTGCCTTTTGCCTGCATGTGAGCATCTGCATCAGAGGTGCTGTACAGGAACATGCACTGCAGTGACTCCCGAGCAGTGAGGTGTGCCCACAGGACTGGCAAAGGACCACTTTTACTGGCAGTGTTTATACTCTGAGCTGAGTAAATCAGCACAGTCAGTTGGAAGAAAAAAATGTTGCTGATGGTATTGTGTCTCTGCTAGAGGCTGTGCCAACACACACATGCCAGGGAGGGATCAGACCTTTGCACTTCCTTTCTGAGCTCCATGGGCAGAAGCCTGCAGTTGTCTTTGTACTTCATGGTTCTAAAAGCAGTACTTGCTATTCTTCACCCTTGTCCTTGCTCTACCTAGTTGTGTGTGAAACTTTGCTCAGGTGGCACATCAAGGTGGGTCTGGCAGTAACGTGCATTCTCAGGCAGCGGTAGAGCACAGCTTGGACTTGACCATGCTAAAATGCACTGCACCAAAACTTCAGAAAGATTTAACGTACAGAGGAGGTTTTACAACATTTATCAGTCTCTGGCTGCAGAAGTAACATTTTCTTCCTTTGTAAAGCCTGGCATAGTTTCAAAGCATGTATTCACTCAGCACCCACTTCAGTGTATTTTAATTGTAATTTAGTGTGCAGAACACTTCAAGGAAGAAGTACTTAGATGTGACCCATGGAAGTCCATGATGCAGTTAGCTGAGTATTTACTTCTTGGAATAAAAAAGCTCTACATAGTAATAAATTTGCAAGTTTTTCTTGTTTTTAAGAGTGGGGAGAGGTTGGCATTTCTTGAATGTTTTGTTCCTCTTCTGTAAATAATGGGTTGTATTATTAGTGATATTTGTAATGTTAATATTTGCAGGACTACAGATTCATTTAAAAACATAGCTGTATGTCAGTTGATTAGGAAGCTGTAGGCCATGTTGCTCAAGCAGCATTTTGCAAGTTTGTAACTCAGATTCTATGAAGAAAACAATTATTCCAGGTAGCCTTCTTGAGGAGGGAGGTGCTCACATTATTATTTCCTAAAAAATTAATCATTTGGGTTTTTTGTCCAAGTCCCATTTTGCACAGAAGTTGTCATTTAGAAAACAAGCCAGCCCCAATATGTTCTGCTTCATTTTTGTCTGTTTAATGTGTATCTCTGCATAGGCTAGGCAGTATTTACAAACCAAATTCTCAGTCATTCCAATTAAAATAGCAACTTGCTTATCCCTAGTTCTGGTACAAATGCTTTTCTGTGCAGTGCAGGCATGTGTTTTAAATAACAGCTGTGGAGATGCATTTCTGAGCTGGCAAAGTGGCTAGCTCCTGGCTAGCTTTGTCCTTTGCACTCAACATTACAGTTGTATTTCCAGTGATTTTTTTTTTTTTTGTACCTTTCATAGCAACAAAGATATTAATGTGATATTGGTGAATCACTAATGCTTGGGGAGTAAGGAATCTTGGTGGTGCCATAGCACAAAAGATTAAATGAATTGATAAATGTGTGACAAAGCAAAGAAGTCTTTGGTACAGCCAGGAACTCAAATCCACAGGTTAAAACTCATGTTTCTGCAGAAATTATAGGACTAGAGCCATCTTAAAGGCCTTTTCATACCAGGACTTTCTTTAATTGCATGCGATATTAAAGCTGAGATAAGTTCCAAATGTATATATGTTCCTTAAACATAAAAAAATATGCAAATATCATTTCTGAAGGTAACTGCAACCCTGCTTTTTACTACAGTGCAGTCTGTCATGCAGCAAAGAGCTGTCTCCATTTCTGAGACAGGTATCAGTGAGATTGCTTTTTCCTCCTTTGAAAGTGTGGAGAGCCATGCAAGGCAGTATGTTTCTAAGTCATAAAAGTGCTAGAGGTTTTTCCTTGTTACTTAAAGAATCAACTCTTGTCTGTATAGATACAAAGGAAGGTATCGGAACTTTGCTAAAAGAGCTGTGCTGAACACTGCCTCTTTCCTGTTTGCAAATTCTGCTAAAAGGTTTTATGAGCTCTCTGCACCAATCCAGCAGCAAAGAGGAAGCAACGAATAATGATTTCCCATTCAGTTCACCACTTTAAGCTCTAAAGAAAGGTTTGATGATTAAGCTTGACATTTTTCTTCTCACAAGATTAATCCTTACTTTAGGGAGTAATTCCATTTATATCAGCAAGATTACTCACGTGAGTAACCAGCTACAGAATTTGCCTGCAGTACTGTGATTGCCTAGGGGAAGTACAAGCAACTCTGCAATTAAAGTTACAGAAGGAAAAGGAGGCCTGACCTTTTCTTTTTTCTTTTGTGTGTGTGTGTGTTTGTATATATATATATGCCTCCTGTTACGGCTTTTGCATTCTGAGGTGTTAGTAGCAGCAGTACAAAATGGCTTTTCTTTAAAAAGAAAGAATTACTAAATGCTAAATTGTGAAAGATAGCAAGAGGAGGATCTCTGATGATTTTTAACTTCAAGGCACCTTACACTTTCCTTATGTGCATCACATTAGTGGAAAATTCCTTCATTCATTTAAGAAGATAAACAGTTGTAACTTTCTCGTTTGGTTGATGTGACATCAATGACTAGCTGGGACTGCCAGCATTCCAAAAAGGATATCGTCCTCATCTGCAGCCACTCAGGGCTGTGGGGTGGAGCCTGCACACAGGCTGAAGCATTTACAGGTGCATAAGTAGGTAGGGAAGGGCACAGGTGATGCACCTGTCTTGGGAAGGGAGCACTAGCACAGGCGTGTCATAACTTCTCAGCTGCTGGCTTAGAGCATGAGCTTCTTTGATCCACAAACACACTCACCACAGCGCTGCAGCCCACAGTTCCCAAATATTGGTCAAGAACCTCCAGAGATGAGTATCTACTATGACAACTTTTTCCATCCACAGAACGTCCCTAGTCCACAACGACCCAGCACCTTTGAGACGACGGATTACAACTCCACTCCCAATCCTTACCTCTGGCTAAATGGACCTTCCATTACCCCACCACCATATCTCCCAGGATCCAATGCCAGCCCCTTCATTCCTCAGTCTTATGGGATGCAAAGGCAGCTCTTGCCTAACATGCACGGCTTGGGAGGGACTGACCTTGGCTGGCTTCCTCTCCCATCCCAAGAAGAGCTTATGAAGTTGGTTAGACCACCTTACTCCTACTCTGCACTTATTGCCATGGCTATCCATGGAGCACCTGAAAAGAGGCTGACTCTCAGTCAGATCTACCAGTACGTGGCTGACAACTTCCCCTTTTATAACAAGAGCAAGGCTGGCTGGCAGAACTCCATAAGACACAACTTGTCTCTCAATGACTGCTTCAAGAAGGTGCCCCGAGATGAAGATGATCCAGGTAGAGCTCTCTCCACCTTTTCCCCCTTCCCCCTCTACCCCTTCCCCCCCCCCAGTTGAATTTGATTAATCTCAAAATGCTTAATGCATTATAAAGAGTCATAATAGCTAGATATGGGACATACATATAGTAGTTTTATTTTCATAGGTCTGAACTAGTACAGTTGAGGTCTGAACCAGTGTGGCTATTAAACTTTTGCAGGGAAGGGGACTCTTTACCGCTCCAGGTCTTCCTGAGAACTGATCAACGTGCTGAGCAAAGGCTCAGCAAGCACAGGAGCAGTCAAATGGAGCAAGTTACATTCAAAACCCATCCAGTGTAATACATACGGCTGAACTGGGAGTTAACAGAAAGGGGATAAGGCAAACTCAGATTTGTGTTGCTTTAGGGAGTAAACAGTAACTCTCAAGAGGAGAGCAGGCTGCTTTTATTTTGTTTGTCTCAAATAGTTTTTGCTTGGAATCACATCTCTGCTGTTTCCAACCCCGTGGCTTCTATGCAGTCAGACTGTTCCTTTATTTATTGTTTTCTATCAATAGCTGTTAAGAACCACTGGGAATGTTTAAAAAACATTCAATTATGCTGCCTCAGAAGGCAAAAAATGTGGTTCTCTCTCGTTAGAAACCTATCTTACCTGGAGGAGCAGCCGGTATGGGGCTATGTTACTCTGGGCTGTAAATTCAGAGGACCAGCTACATAACAAAAACCTCCTTCCCTCACCCAGGAAACAAACTTAAAAAAAAAACCCTCCCCATGGCTCCACTTGCAGTTTTATCTGTTTGAAGTGTCAGGGCTAAAGGACACAGCCCAAAATGTTACACTTTTTTTCTGATTTCAACAGATTTCTGCTTTTGTGTGATTAAAAAGTGCATATGGTTTTTGCTCATGCAATTGTTCTGTTTCTGTGAAATGAAACATTGTAAAGCCCTAAGTAACTGCTCTTTTCTCTCTATGCATATTTTTAAGCTAAAATTATGCCTTTTTTCCCCTTTGACAGGAAAAGGGAATTACTGGACTCTGGACCCGAACTGTGAAAAGATGTTTGACAATGGAAACTTTCGCAGGAAAAGGAAAAGGAAGTCTGACATTGGGGCTAGTGCTGCCACTCTTGCATCTGAGAAATCAGAGGATAATGGCCTGACTGGCAGCCCCAAAGCTGTAGAGCATCAGGATATCTTGGAAAATACATCACCTGGGACTGACAATTCACCTGAGAAAGGATCTCCACCTCCAGCTTCCAGTAGCCCATGCCTCAGTAACTTCCTCTCCAGTATGACTGCGTACGTTAATGGCTCTAACTCAGGGAGCCGTATGGTGCCTTTGGGACTTAACTCTGAACCCATTGACAAAATGGGTCAGAATATGGTAGGCTTTAATTCCTACTCTCCACTCTCTAATATCTCCAGTCATGGTGTGGGAGAGTGGTCCAATTCTATGCCTTCTAACCACCTTGGTCACAGCAACTCTGTGCTCAACCAGTTTAACACCCACTTTTACAGCAGTATCAGCACAAACAACACGCTGTATTCCAGGGAAGGAACAGAGGTTTAAATGAAGAGGATTCTGAGACACTTAAGTATAGCTGTTTATGAGAGGAAATGATATGTGGGCAGAGGATTAGCGTTAGCCTGTTGTCTCTGGGGCCCATAGTGCATCCTACCTTCTGACAGATTCAAACTTGTTACCCATTATATTTATTCAAATCACAAACACTCCACATCCAGCAGCTCCACATAGAAAATTTAGGGATCATAACAGCAAGGATAGTGAAGAGTTCTGGGAGACTGTGCTTGTCATGCTGCCCAGCCATGGTCCTCTACAGACATGCTTGATAAGCTACTATTTGCCTTGGGCATGAAACTTCTCTGGCATGGCACTAATACTGCTATACTTTTTAAAGTACTAATAGAAATGTTGTTACATCTTTAAATACCCACTCTTGCTGGTATAGGCTGGCTGTACTAGACATGCCTAGCAAGTTCTTATTTGGCCAGAGCTGTCCTGAGACACTGAAGGATCTGTAATAAAAACTACTGCATAGTGAGTAACAACTAACCCTTGAACTGTGAGTGCCATCTTTGGTTTTCTCTCAGAGGAGTGAATACACTGGCTAAACTGTGATCCCCTTTCAGCCCCAAGGGAAACACGGCTGTGAAGCTTGCTAGCATCCTCTGGGACCCAACTGTCCATATGAAGGGGAGCATAACAAAATAGAGTGGAATTGCCTGCTGCTGCTGCAGTTGGATCCTCATGTTTCCACAGCGTTTTCAATTTTAATAACAGGGTCTCTTTTTTTTTATTGCCTTCCACATGCAAATCTCTTCACATAGGGAAAACAAAGATCCTGTTCTTCTAGGAAGAAAACACATTTATTCTATCTTAACTGATAGAATAAACTTACCTACCTGGGTAATTTCTACTGAGTAAAGAATCTGAATGTTGGGGGGGAGGGAGAAGAGAGAGAAGAAGAAAAGGGAGGTGAAAAGTTTAACTGTCTCTGAGTTTCAGTTCCAAAGGCTGGATCTTTCAAAGCATCAATTGCAGATATTGTGAAAAGTCCCTGTGTTGTATTTTTATTTTGTTTTGTCAAAGTCCATGCTCTTTGTCCTTGTGTAGATATTAGAAATAATGCTTATTTTTCTACTCTAGCCACAAACAAAACTTCAAAATAGATATAAGTTTTTTCAAACCAGCACTTGAATCAAGTTTTACATTTACATAGGGTGAGATTTCAAACTGGATAGCCTTCAGTGTACATAGACAGCGAGTTTAACTGGGCACATCTGGGTACTCACCAGACTTCTGGAATGACAGAAAACAGATTAATGCATTGCGACTGATATCATTTTGCCTTGATTTTTTTACTTTACATGGGTATAGTTTTGTTACGGACCACTCCAGAAGCATTTCTAATAAAGCATTTGTATCGAAGAGGGTGTACCAGTGTGTGTGGGTGTACACTATACTATTTATGTCTTTAAAAGTCTCCTTAATAGTTTGACTTAAGGAGCAGTCTAATAGTCACATAAGGTCAGAGACTGAGATGGCATATGTCTAGGCAATCAAACCTGCATGCCTGAGGAATAGAATTGGCTGCTATTATGCAAAATAATATCACTAAATAAAAGCCGTATCTGTTTCCCTGCTGGAGCTGATCATTTAAACCTTCAGAAACCAGACTGTATTTTCACATGCCCGTTGGCAGATATGACTGCAATCTTTTCTGAATTATTATGTATTATTTTCATGTTTAAACATTTTCACTACCAAGGCTGCCCTGACTGTTCAGTTTTGGACCCACTATGATAAGTACTCACTTGGGAGTTGAAACCTACCTACACTGCTAGCATTCCTGCCTAAAAAAAAGAATAAAATGACCTTCTGGTTGTGTCCTTCTGCTGTGACTATAACTTTCTCTGAAGTTAAACACGTGCTGCGGCCTGAGCTGTAACTTCTGCGCTCAGAATTTTACAGCCCTTCCAAGAATCTCAGCCCAGTAGGTGGGCCATAATATACCCTGCAATGCAGCAGTTGGCAGCAGAGAGACTTGTTCATGTGACAATTGGGAAGTGCACTCAGTCAGTGCTATTATGTCTTGGATTCAGCCAACACACAACCAATTGCTCAGAAATCCATTTCCTGTCGGGTATACTGTTCACAAAACCAAGAGAAAATTGATTTCTCCAGTGCTGAAATATAAAATATTCCATTATGGACTTACTTACAGAACAGAGTGTAGGGAAAAATAAGATGCAAAGTATGCTGAGTGATGCTACTAAAAGGCAGCAGAAGGTAAAAAGCAACTCCTTTGTCACTCAACATTTTGTTTGATTCTCTGAATTCCCAGTCCCAAATAATAAAAGGAAAGACATAAAAGTATGAAAAAGGCAAGAGTTTCTGCCTCACTGCTTCCCAGATGCTGTCAACCAAATACCAACTTTAGTTTATGCACAAAGAGGAAGTGCTGCTGATGTGCTGGTTCTTCACAGACAAAGGTATGTTACCCAGTGCTTCCCTGACCACAATGAATAACTGGCTCCCGTGCAAACTTTCAGCTTGCCTAACACATCAACTCGCCTAACACATCAGCTAAGTTGATGAAGCTGCTGTTGAAGGAGGAGTGGAAAGATGATTGCATGCCATTTCTTCTCAAAACGGAGCTACTTTGTAACAAAACACATTAGGAGCACTGTTCTTCAGCTCTATTTTTATGTTTTCCAGAGAGAATTGGTTTTGGTAACCAGCTATTTTGATATGTTCCTGGAGCTTCTGCATATCAGTTTAGCACCTGTAGGGAAACTGAACTACTGTTCTTACGTGAGCAGCAGCATTGCTGTGTCAAAGGTGCACATTTGTGTATTTTACCGCTATGGTAAACATATGGCTTCTGGAGGGAAGAGCATCTGGTTTTTAAGGGATGGTTTTTGTTGTTGTTTTTAAGTATGATAGTAAAGAAGCTGTTAAACTAGGACCTCTAATACATTTAGAACATTGCTGATCTTTACAGACCTATAGTCTGACTTACAAACATATTTACCAATTCATGCTCATTCATACCCATCTTTTAAAGCAGGCATCTAAGACTGTTACAAAGTGGAGGAACAGTAAAGCTAGACAACAAGCCTTAAAGAATTGTATGGAACTGTAAGATTCTGGAATGCTTGACCTTCCAGATGATAAGTTGGTGAGAGATTAAATGTTACTCTTTGTTCAAAGATGACACCAAGAGGTGTGGTGCAGGTATCTGTAACAGAAAATCACATTCCAGTCCTGCCAGTATTTACTTCTCCACTAAATAGCAGTGGGAACTTTGGCAGGTAGGTTCTCAGTCACAATGCACCAGCCTTTCTCTCATGATGGGATACTTTATGAATTCTTCACAGTTTAGAAGTGTCAATAGTTTCTTTGTTGCTTAATGTGAAAACATTCCTAGGTGAGGAAAATAATGAACTTCTTCCCAGTAGGTTTGCCAACTCTTAACACTGGCACTGTATGGCACTTCACAGCAATCCTACAATTGTTCGCATTCAGTTGGTATGCTTGACATGCACTGGAAACCTACAGAGCTGTAAGTACCTGGGCAGAAAGACACTGAAATTTTTCTTATTTACGTTGTGGATCTAGTTCTAAGATGGTACAGACTTTTATCTACCCAAACACCCCTTTTTGAGTGGTCTGGAGCAACATAACACTTGCTGATGTCCTCTGCAAACTCATTTTCAGGACACCTCTCTAAAACTAGTTTTTGCATGCCTTGTGTTGGCTAAATTGCAATATAAATTAAGCTTTACATCTGCTCAGTTTTGATTGTTTTAAATCCTAAAAGCATTCCTCTACAAATCTCCCTGCAGCAAACTGTGGTTTCAGCCTTCTGCAGCATATGATATCCATTGCTCTTGAAGAAGCAAGGCAGAATGTCAAGCCAGCTCTAGAAGTAGCTAATCCTAATTTTTAACCTGCTTGCTACTGATTTTCTATTTAAATTAATTGGAAAAAAAAACTATTAATTTTTCCTTTGATAAAGATTCCTGATAAACTCTTCTCTCATGGAGTGATCTTGCAAAGTATCAAGAATCCCAGCTCCTCTCTAGTTAAACTGAAGCCAGGGAGCTCAGCTCCTCACCTGTTTAAGTAGCACTGATGCATCTCACTGTGCAAGTACACCACTACTGTGCGGGCATGAGAATCCCTCTTAGAGCTCTTTGGCTTCAGAAGGCCTCTGCCAGTACAGACCAGTTTGCTGGACTGGGGTCTAAGGCAGTGATTAATGATGGATTTTTTTTTTTCCCTGGTCTTTCTTTTCCAGTGGTATTTGTTTATATCACTCCCAATGCTTCCACACTCACTGAGATTCTTCTCAGAGACATAAATGCTGTCTTTTGTTAGAAATGACCATCAGATGAGCAGAAGTACAACCTGTTGTCTGCTAAGCCCTTACCAAAATCTAGTGTTGAAAATGGTACCTGGAAATCAGATACTTGATTTTCTATTTGTAGTAGCAGAAACTATGCAAATGAAGACTTGAAGAATTATTGAAGGCCTGTAAAGCACAGCAGAGCACATTCATAATCCTGTTTTGCATCAGTAAGTTCTTACTTTCAAATTCTTTTGCTTTTCCTTTTTCTGTTCTTACTCCAGTAATTTTGCAGCCACCAGCTTCATAGTTTTGCATCTCCAGTTGATGTGAGGCATATGATATCACTGGCATACCGAAGAATAAAGCAGGACATCTAACTGCTTTGTTTTCAATTAGCAGCACAAAAATCAAGCCAGAGTTGATCTGATCTTTTATCCCTCTTTTAACTTAATAAACCCCATTTTTTAACCTTTTATCATGACTGGAACAATCAACAGAACAGCTGAATAGCATAAGCCTTAGTCCATTTTTAAGATTAGTACATGAGTGAACATAAACATGCTTCGAAAACAAAATTGTTAGGGATGTGCTAAATTACACAAGCAACTTTATGGTTCACGCCAAGATTCTTGCATTTTTTTCTGAAATGATTAGTATGTGTCTCACATCTGTCCCTCTAATTGTTCTCATTCTTTTACTGTAGAATTTTTAGACTCAGGTTTAGCATAGGATGGATGACAGTTGCTAATCTGCTCCTCTTAATTCAAAGCAGCAGGGCAGTTGCTAGTATATAGGATCTTAGATGGTGCTTAGGAAGTGAGTGCTTTCTATGCTGCACAATTTAACCTTTCTGCTAGAACAAATGTACCCATGTTTGCTGTAATGCCATGGAATCACCTCTCTTTTACCACCATGGAAAATGGGTTGTTATACCTGTATATTCTTCTCCAAGTCAAGAAGATCAGTATGAGCAGTTAGTAATGCAGACCTAAACCACTAGAATATCGTATAACTGAGCTCCTAATCATTCTGGTCTCAGTTAAAAGTTTATGATCTATATAAATGAACTGCCTGCCCTGTCCTTGCTGTATCTTAATTTACCTAAGAGTATTCTACTTCCCTGGATGGGTTTCCAGATTTAAGATGGCATTACTTTCACCTGTTGAACACCCATTTCATACCAGGTGCAATTGTAGTTTGGTGGCAGATGAAGTGGGAATGTAAATGATTTAAATATTATTGTGTGTATGTAGGATTGTCATAGTAGACTGAAGCAGATCAGATGTGCAGTCAGTAAGGCAGCCTATCCACAAAACAGCCAGAGTCATAAGTTACAAGGGAAAGTACAGTAGTAGCAAAATCAGCTACTTCGGTTCATACAATCATAGAACCAGGAGGCAACAGAACCATGCTTTTGCTCCTGCAAAAACAAACAGCTTGTGCAGTGCAAGCTGAACGCATTTGAAACAGCAATG